TTTTTCCAGTAGTGGTAAAATGAGTTGTGTGAAAGTGACTGTATCTTTCAAGATATCTTTCAAGAAACTGAGTAGTAAATATCTGGATATACACAAAAGCTTAATATACCAGAATTAATTACTGAGTGGATTTTGGTGGTCTCTTCTAGGTCATTTATGATATAGTAACAAACTAATTATCAGGTATTCTAATACTACCCAAGTCTATAGTCATAATGTGCTATTAGATATGGCTTTAACTAAAATTACTCTTTAAATAGTAAAGAGAGAACCTAGAACAGTCGTAAGAGAATATTTTAAAAATACCTAGAGAAGTTAAGATTATTAATTAATAAGTTAATAATAAGTAATAAATAATAATTAGTTAATAATAAGTATTATATTTCTTCAGTAAACCCCATTTTTGAAATTACTTAAATTTAAAATAGCAGCTGTAAGTAGAGTTTTATACTATAATTTTTTAATCTGATAAGCATAATTTGACTATATCTTAGAGGGTATAGGAAAGTACTATCTAATAGAAATATTATGAGAGTCACATATATAATTTAAAAATTTCTGGTAGCCATATTAAAAATATAGAAAGAAATAGGTAAATTTTTAGTGATGTATTTTAATTATGTATTTACTATAATCCACTGTATCCAAAATATTGTTTCAACATGTAATCAGTATTAAGATATTATAAGTGAAATATTTCACATTCTTTTTTCCTTAGTAAGTCTTTGAAATCACTGTATATTCATTTTATACTGACAACACATCTCAATTCAAACTAGCTACTTTTTTTTTTCAGACTAGCTCTACCTTAAGGGCTCAGTAGAAACATGAAAATCCACTCATGTACAAATAAAACACATTTTAAGTATCGTGACTATTATGTTTCTGTATCTGTCTTTTTCTTTATACTCCTATAACCCTATTTTAGTATCACAGGACCCCTACCCCCTTAAGTATCTGATTCTTAATTCTTGGTTTGGATTCAGTGACATCTTTGAATTCAAGTAATGGAGTATTAAAAGTGTCATGATCCAAATCCTTTACATATTCTACCTAAAAGACTTTAGTCTCGTGTGTCTTAAGAGATACCTTTGTGGGAGATATATATATATATTTTTTTAATCTTTTTAGATTAATCTTGCATCTTATCTAAAATAGTATAGTAGATATTTTAATGTAGAGTCCAGATGGTAAAATCAGAATAGATAAAAGGTTTGATTTTTGGCCTGGTGACTGATGATGGAATGTCCTTTATTTATAAATGTCGTATGAAGGCCTGTGATGCCAACCTGAAATTTGGTTTCATATATGATTCATAAAGTCCTCTAGTTAGGCTAAAATTTGGCTTTACTGAGTTTTCGTATTTAACCAGTGATGTTGTATAGTTTGAGTTCTGAAATTGTTGTTATAGCTTAGATAGGATTTATGTGAAACCACCTTTTTACTTTAGTAATTACTATTCAGCTGAGGGCTCCTGTTTTGGATTTCTTGACTTCATTTGGCAAATACTATTTATTAGGTTTTTTTTTTAATTTTGAATTTCTATTGCAGTTAGCCTTTTTTCTTCTTTTTTGGAGAGATATTGTATCTATATATAATGTAACTATATGTAACTATACAGTTATATAACTGTATATGTGTATGTATATAGAAGTATATCTGCGCATTGTGTAAGAGGCTTTAGTATGAAGGTAAAGAAGAAGGCTGTCAGTAAAGATGTCAAGAGAGGTTGACAAGCCATCAGAGTAGAAGACGCCTGCCTCTCAAGCAAAGCTGAGATGATGAGGGGTGAGGCGGATTGAAGTGGAGGCGGCAAGAAAGAGGCTTTTACAGTCAGAGTGGTACTAACTCATATTCTTTGACAGGTTTTTGTGCTTGTACACCTTCTAGATAGTCATCATGTTGGAATATATTTTTAACACTTTAAGTTCCAAAGTCTTCTTGGTAGTTTTGAAAGATAACATATCTATAATTGAAGGATATTACCCAGATTCAGACGTTAGTTCCTGACTCAGAGGAAGAGATTATTTTAAGAAAAGGGCTGAAACTTTTATTAAACTACTATGTTAGATTTGATTCTCTTCACTTATTAAAAAAGAAAAATCCGTTTGATCTGAGCAAAAAAACCATTTACCAAGCTCTTACTTTAAAATATGCAGGCATTGATTTTAATCGTTTAGGCAGAGATACACAATACAATGTTTTGATAGTATATGAAGTACAGATTAAGTGACTGAAGGAGGTACACTATTTGTGAAACGAAAGTGTAAAAATTAAAATACTGTATCAGTTTCTTAAATTTTAAGGCATTATTTTGTTATTCTTAAAATATTTACTTTTTGCCTCTTAACTAAGATGAACAGCTTTGAAGAGGAACTGTCAGAGAACAGTCATTTGAAAATTAATTCAATAAGAACAAATAAAAATGTTTTAAATTACTTAAAAGTATTTGTTAGGCTCTCAAGGAGAAAGATGTATTTTAAAAGTGGGAGAAGCTTTTTAAAGCAATACATTTTTGTGGTTTTCTTGAGCTATTTGGATAGAAACTGCACCTTTAAAAACTAACCATTCAGGGTACAAATTAATGATTCTATAACTACAATTTTCAGTCATTTAACTTTATTTAACTCCAAAATATGTCTGCTGTTAGTAGTAAAATGTATTAAACTTTTATTAATCTTATTTAGAGTTTCCCATGTTAATACACTTCAGTTTTCCTACCTTTGCTGTTGGTTTTCAAAGACAGCAAAAATTATATCCTTAAAGGTGTTTCTTTCTTTATTAGAGCACTTGCTTTCAAAGAGTGGCGGGGACTGCACTTTTATTCATCAATTCATAGAATGCCAGAGTGAGTACAGAGTATTTTTCACATTGATTTTAATGAAGTCAGGGGTAACACTGAAAAGTGAGAAGAAAAATGAATATCACAATGTGTTTGTTACATAGAAATGCACAAAGGCCATCTTCAGACTGATTCTTTTCAGAGTTTCTGTTTCTCTCTTTTGAGAAAAATATTTGTTGTATTATCTTCATAGATGGAGATGAGGATTTCATATAGCTTACAGAAAAGAAGTTTCAAGCTTTTTAATTAAAAATCATTACTGAGTAGGGAATAAAATAGAATGTCAAGCACCTAAACCTTCTCTCTGGATACTTAAGAGAATAATAACGTTAACTTGATTTACTTAAATTTTAGTTTTGTCACAGATTTAGATTTTGAGGTTCTTAGATAAGTTTCTTAAAAGATTAAATTAAACCACACAAATAATGATTTTGTTTAGACACATATCTGAAGATAGCCCTTAATGTCGCAGGAGCTTTCTAGAGAAGTAGTAGACTGTCCTAGAGTGTGACATCAACTGCCTACCCTTGGGAAGTTGTACAAGGATGTTTTTAATAATTTAAAGATAGATGGGTTGGCTTTTGAGGTGACTTAGATGTCTGCTGAATTCTGAACAAAAGAATCATGAATTCCCTCTTGAAAATTACATGACTACTTGAATCTGTAACAATAAAGATTGTGTTATTCTTTTGGTTTTCTTAGTAACAATTAAAGGTCACTGTGTGTAGTAAAGATTATTGGTGATATCTGTACTTTTTCCTATCAGACGTACACATTGTCAGGCATTTTTCTCTCTCTGTTGGCTCTCTTTTTGGAAATGAATGGTTTACAGATCTTTATGCTCATGAATTCATTTTGTGAATGTGCACACATGTATGGTTCCCTCCCACCCGCTGCTCCCACACCCTTCAATCTCAAGAGCACTCGAAGGTTGTAAGGGTCACCCCTGGTAATTATAGCAGGTACAAACTCAATAGATCAAATGTTATACTCCTAGAGATGCTTTAAGGTAACCTGAAATTTCACTTAATAGTTTTAGAAGAGCTTCTGTTTTTGTCCATTTTAGAGACATTTTGTTGAATGTAAGTTTACTATTACTTTGAGGCAAATTGTTGAGTAAATATGGTACATTTCTTTGTTCTTTAACAATTTTTTTCATAAAGAAAAGATTAGTGCATCTTTTTGTTACCTTCTGATTACTAAATCTCTCTTTTACAAAAAATTGGCACAGGGATTGGGGCAAAATCATTGGTGCCCACTGAAACCAACTAAAGGTAGAATATATAATCTAAAATATAAATCTTCAGGAGAAGGATTATATATCTAGTTTTATTACATATGACCATTTAAAATAAGTTATTTTTATTTTGAACTTTTGGGACTTACATTTTGAGCCTAACGAATTAAGAATAGAGACTATCAAAAGAATGTCTTACTAAATTATAATTTGCAAAAATTATTTAAAATATTATTATAAAATATGTAAAATATTTAGCTGTAGTTTTTACAGAGAACAATTTTATTTTGAACAAAGAAAAAAGATTTGAGGGGGGATTTTTATTGTATCATAGTTATGGGGGGAAAATGGACCAAGTGAACATTCAGAGACTGAGTAAGAAGTTATATAAATTACAGCCAAGTCCCCTCAATGGGGATATTAGCCAATAAAGTGATGTTTACAAGAACTATGTAATAGCATGGGAAAATGCTAAATGTGGTGCATAGAGAGAAAAAAATGAGAACATAAAATTCTGTTTTTCTGGACAATGAGTTAACCAAAGAGCAAAAAAATAAAATACAAGTATTCTTAGACACTGGGTCCCTAAATATAAAGAGTGGAAGTTTGGACTGTAAGTTCAGGTAGCTAGGGATATAGCCTGTTATCTGAATCTGTTTCGTTTCTGAGTTTTGTTGGCAAGTAGTGAGAGTTTGGTTAATGAGAATACCAGTCATATCTCGAATTTTCAAAATCTGTTTGGTTCCTTAAATCTGGATAGCCAGAACTGGCATAGTAGGGGTTACCTCTGGTTTGAGTTGTTGTCATTTCATTATTTTATGCCATTATTTTTATTTGATCACAAAGAACCATTAAAGAAGTTGTTGTGCTTGTCAAGTATTATGGCAAGCATAATTCAGCAAAAATCTTACTCAAGTGAACTTTTGAAACATTTTTGGATTATTTTTTGGTAAGTGCACATAAATTTTTTTGCCATTATTTTCAGTGATAGTCATCTTGACCTTAAACATGGAAGTGTGTATTCTGAGCAGTGATAACTTCGTAATCTTGTTCCCAATGTTTTAAAAAGCAAGTGTTAAGTACCTAGCTTTCATTATTTACTATGCTTGCACAGTATAAGTTCACTTTGTGTTTTAAAAGTTAGAAAGCAAATAGTGCACTTTGTACGATTCATCATGTATAGTTTTAATATATTGACAGATTTTTTTCAATGTATGTGTCTGAATCCATAAGAGAACAATTTGGTTGTTGGCTCTCTCCATTTATAAGGTGATTTTGAGGAAATTAAATGAGTCAGAACACATTTCAATTTGTTGTCCTTTTATGGTAAAACAGACTGTGTTTCTTTTAATTCTCTTTTAGGAGAAAAGCTTTTAATCCTAGGCTAAGAGGTTGGATTTTGAACAGATTTAAATAAAACCTTTGCATCATTCGAGAACTGTGAAGTAAATTTTCTGTATAAAAATACATCACATAAAATCTAGAATTAACAAGTAAGTTTAGTAGATCTTGCTGAAAAGGTCTAACAAATTTTCTTCAGGAATTCAGGCATGAAGTTTGGCTTAAGCAGAACTCCACATTCCATGTTTCCTGCAGATTTTAGTCACTCAAGGTTTACCACCATATAAACTTTAATGAGTACATTGAGACCTTTGTGTGCTGCTGAAGATGCTTTCTGAGTTAAAAGCTGTACATCTCTAAATCTGTTTCATATATGTTCTGCAAACTCAGCCACTTGATTAATTTGTATGCTGAGTGAAAGGATGAAGGGTGAAAGGTAAGGATGTGGAGACCTGCCATCATTTGGTGGGCATGGAGTGAAAAACAGCCTTCTCTGGACTTTCGCCTGCTCCTTCCATTTCTCTTGCTGAGTTTGTCCTGGTGAGGGCAGAAATGTCACTGCTGGGTGCCAGAGAAACTTTCCTCTGAGATGTGCTTTGGGGAGACAAACTACTCTCTCCCCCAGGGGCATTTCCCTTTCTATGATGGGGTTAAAAGTGCCAGCCGTGAAATTATTTCATGTCTTTGTGTTCTTAATCCATGCTTACTGTGATACTTAATGGTTTTTATTATTATTAAGCAAAAGTCTAATTCTCTTACTATTTCATGTCCTATTGTTTTGTTTTTGTTTTTGTTTTTTTTTCTTATTAAAAACAAAATTCTCTCCCTGACTTCCACCCCTAGTTTGAAATTGTAGTCATTATCTGTGTATGCTTCTCTCATTCGTCCTCCTTTCTCTTAGGGCTTTGCTGTCACATAGAAATTGCCTTATTTGGAGTAATACATTGAATCACTGTTGCTTGTGTGACTGTTTACTTTTCATTACCCTATGAGATCAGCCTGTCTGAACAATCTCAGGCTTATTCTGATTACATACTGTACTTGAAACAGATTCTTAAATTTTCATCTTTTAAACTTTTATTTCTCTAAGGCAAAGCAATTTATTTATGACAAAGAATAAAGAACATTTGGTGTTGGTTCCCTGCTCATATTAGTTAGTGTCAGTTAATTACAGGAAAACTCTTTTGAGTTTAAACTGGATGTTGCTAATTGTTTATTTCTTTGTTCTTAAACACTGTCTAAGGGTTTTTGTTTGTTATTTGTACCAGTCTTTTCCCAGTCAGCTAGCTTTCCAATATTTCTTCTTGATTTTCTCCCAGTATAACTGCACAGAAGATAGTCTTAAATTCATGCCAACAGTGTTTTGACATATAGACTGTTCCTTAAAAAAAAAATCTGTTTCTGTATTCTTGAAATTGGTTCATTTAATTTAGTTTTAAATCTCTCCTTGAATTCTAATTTTTTTTTCTCTTTTGTTCTTATTCTTGGATTTTAAGACAAATAGATTCTGGAACTGTTTTTAATGGAAAGGCAGACAATCTTCTATAACATGAATTGCTTAACAATTAAATTAAAATAAGATTATTTTGCTGCAGAAGCAAATAACTTGTGAAAGTCTGTATTATTAAAATTAGCAGCCTCACAGAGTCTGGATGCACAGCTCTGTTTCTACTTTGTGAACTGCAACTCTCTGAAGGGTAATAAATTGTTAGCTTGATGTGAAATGCTGGTTGTAATTTTTTACTTTAATTGTATCTTGATGTTAATTCTAGTCTCAGATTCTTAGCTGTATTTCCCTTTGATGACCTTCTAGGCGACTTAAGCCCATTTTCACTTATGATGCCTAGAATTGGATCAAAGTAACCTTGATGTGAATTCTGATTCGATCCCTTACTGGCAATATGACTCTGGGTAGTATGACCTCTATAAACCTGAGCTTTCTCATTTATAAAATGGGATGCCAGTACGTACTTCATAGGGTTATTATGAAAATTAAATGAGATCATGTTTACTAAGTGCTCTAAATAATAGTTGGCACACAGAAATACATGTTAATTAGAGGGTAGGAAACCTTTTTAGGCAGGGGGAGGCAGAGTTTGGAGAGGATGTTTTAGTGGGAAATTTCTTGTTGAGGTAACTTGTTTTCCTCCTTTTCCCATTCCCATTCCCAAGACAGTGAAGGCTAATTGATCCAGCTTTATTGTTCCTGTTAAAGGAATATGTTTCTGACAATCTAGAGATTGTCTAACTTTTAATTACCAATATGCATGCAATTAAAAAAATTTGGTCTCAAGCACATTATTTTGATGCCCTAATTATAGCATTTTTTTTTAATGAAGCCTAAGTTTAAGATTTAGAAATAATTCTTCAGGTTGGCATTTACAATAGCGGCCTGGGTGGTTCTTTTTTATTCTTCTACTCTTCTCTTCAGTCAGTTTAAGATCCTCAGGAAACTGACATCAGTATCTAATAGTCAGTGCCATTTATCTTTTGTTTTCAATTGGTTGTAGCCTTCATGTGAAGACAGTGGCTCTTTTAGAACTTATTCCCCCAACACAGAACTATGAAATTTTGTATTCTGTTTTCCCCCAATACAGACAATGCTGCATTGGTAGTCTTTATATAAGTGGTCTCTTTCTTTCCAGTGTGATATGCAGAAGAGGGGTTGTGAGATCAAAAGGCATGTGCTTTCAACATTTGGATAGTTCCTGCCAAGTTACTCTCTAAAAGAAAGATACCGATTTACACTTCCACCAAAGGGACACAATTACTCGTTTACCTACACCCCTACTACTGAATGTTTGCCAACCTGGTGGGTGAATAATGCCATGGCATTGTGTTAGTGGGTAGACCATGTTTACTGGATATATGCATTTCTGGGTCTGTGAATTCTGTGTTGGTATTCTTTGCCGCTTTTTCTGTTATGTTGTTAGACTTTTTCTTACTCATTTTTGGAAGTCTTCATATCTTTGTTTGCCTTCTCCATAGTCTCTTTCCTCATTCCCTGTTTTATTTTTCTCCATAACTGCCATCTGACATACTGTTTGTTTATTTCTTTATTGCTTGTCCCTCTCCGCATCATTAGAATTTAAGAACCAGGAGGGTAGGGATTTTGTCATTTGTTCATTCTAATACTTCCAGCACCTGTCTGGCACATAGTAGGCACACCGTAGTTAATTTTTCATTGAGTGAATGGAGTGAATAACAACCTTTTATCTGTTATTTGTTTTTCAGATATTTTTTCCATGTTTGTCACTTGCACTTTACCTTTGTTAACGATGAATTTGATCATATGGAAAATTTTAATTTATATGAAGTCAAATCTGTCAGTTCTTTCACACATGGCTTTTGTTTCCTACATTGTACCTAGCTTCCCCTCCCCACCGCCACCTTTATACCCTTCATTCACTTCTCCCACTCCTCACCACCCCCCACCTCTGGCAACCAGCAGTCTGTTCTGTCAATGAGCTTTTTTTGTTTGTTTTTTCAAGATTCCACATATGAGAAATCATATAGTATTTGTCTTTCTCTGACTCATTTCATTTAGCTCAGTGTTCTTGAAGTCTATCCATGTTGTCAAAAATGGCAAGGTTTTATTCTATTTTTAATGCCTGAATAACATTCCATTGTATATATATACCACAACTTCTTTATCCAGTTATACATTGTTGAACCCTTAGGTTATTTCCTTATCTTGGCTGTTGTAAACAGTGCTACAGTGAACATGGGGGTGCATATATCTATTCAGGTTAATGTTTTTGTTTTCTAAGATAAATACCCAGAAGTGGAATTTGCTGAATCATATAGTTATTCTATTTTTAATTTTTTGAGGAACCTCCATACTGTTTTCCATAGTGGCTGCATCAATTTACATTCCCACCAGCCATGCAAAAGGGTTCCCTTTTCTCCACATCCTTGCCAACACTAATTTCTTGTCTTTTTGATAATAGCCACTCTAGCAGGTGTGAAGTGATATCTCATTGTGGTTTTGGTTTGCATTTCCTTAATGATTAGTGATGTTGTGCATCTTCTCATGTGCCTATGGCCCATCTGTATGTTTTCTTTGGAAAAATATCTATTCAGATCTTCTGCCCATTTTTTTTATCGGATTATTTTGTTTTGTCTTGTTTTTGCTATTGAGTTGTACACAATTATTTAGGTCATAATCAGAAGAAAGAAAAGACAATGATAGGCTGAGAAGGAAGGAATGTGCAAGCACATAAATGAAATAGAAATGAGAGGTATCTTAGAAGTCAAAGGAAACGAGTTTTAAAGGAGAAAGAGTAAATTTTTGATTAAATATGGTGAATGGACCCATTCATGGTAAAAGATTATAAAAGACATTAAAACTACAAGGACAAAGAGAATAAGAGTGGAGGCTATGCAGGTAGTAGATGTTAAAAAAACAAAATTGAAGCTGTAAAACAGACAGTTGAGTAGTAAGAGATTTTGGAGGATGGGAAGTAAATTCTTAATAAGTATGAGATCTTCTTTTGGGACGATGAAAATGTTTTAGAACTAGATGGAGCTGGTGGTTGCATAATATTGTGAATGTACTAAATGCCACTGAATTGTTCACTCTAAAATTAATGCAATATGTGACTCTAACCTCAATTAAAAAAAATCTTATACTGAGGTGTATGAAATTTAAGAACACCAGGGATAAAGAAAAGATTCTGAAAATTTCCAGAGAGAAACAAAGGATCACATACTGTATTAATTATAATAAATTATAATATAGCGGTAAATAAGCACTGAAATCTTAATGGTTTAATTCAACAAACATTTGTTTTTCATTTATGCTGCATGTCCATGGCCGGGGAGAACACTCTACTCTATATTGTTACTGAGGAATCTAGGCTAATCTGAACATGTGGTTTCCAGAGTGAGGGAGGAAAGAAGTGTAGAAAAATCCTACTCTCTCTGAAAGGCTTTGGCCCTGGCTAGAACCAGTCATACAGACCTTCGTCACTGCTAGGAACTTGGAATGTGCAATCTTCTCTGGTGCCCAGAAAGGAAGGGCAAACAAGGCAGTGCTGACACAAGACATCTCCACCGTGCACACTGACAACAGGAGTTAGGCTGACGTTAGGCTCACCTTCCGGTTTGAAGCTAGAAGACAGTGGAACAATGTTTTTAAAATTCTGAAGGAACGTTATTTCCTGTAGAATTTATATCTGTCAAACCATCAGCCAAATGTGAGGGTGGAACATTAATATTTTCAGAGGAACAAAGTCACAAAGCATTGACCTTCTATCCACCCATTATCAGGAAATTATTAGAGAATATGTTACACCAAAACGAGGGCATAAAATAGGAAGAAGAAGATTTGGAATCTGAGGGCAGGGGTTTTTGCACAGGATACGGCTCAGACTGCAGCAGGAAGTTTAAAGGACTCGGGGAAGGGAGAGCAGGGATATACAGTGTGATAGATTACTCATGTTTGATGGTATTGAGGGTTTTATGGTTCTCTAAGAAGTTGAGCTGTGTTTGAGACAGATATATTTTAAAAATTAGCAAAACTAAAGAGGACATTATGGGTTCCAAAAATGTTACATGTTGCACAAGAAGAGATGCAATTATAACACATTATATGACGCAGATATAAGTTATAGGCATAATATAAATACTGATTACTGATGGACAAAGTCTAATTTTTATGAGGATGATAGTAAGATATGAGAGCTTAATCTTTTATAAGAGATTGTCAGTAAATAATGCCTAAAATGGAAAAATTAAGAAATAGCAACATATTATTCAGAAATGTAAATACCAGAAGAAATGACTAAAAGTTAAAAGTTGTTTCTAGGAAGTGATTTTCAGGAATGGAGTGGAGTAGGACAGGGGATGGGAAGGACAGCTTACATTATATACCTTGTGAGATTAATGCCTTTTAAAATTATCTAAATCTCTTTGACTTTTTTTTTTCCTCCCAAGGAAGCAGTGGCAAATAATGCCACGTACTGCAGGGAGCCTATATGAAATGACCAAGTTGCAGTGGGTTGAAGGGTGAAAGAATAGAGAAGTTATTTCACATACTGCAAAAGTATAAATTGAAGGAGGTTAGCTCATTTACAGGATCAAATAAGGGGATATATAGAATAGATATATTATCTTCCTTAGTGAAATATAGAATATGAAAATCTAACTTTTAATAAATTATAAAGAAGCTACAATTATTCATTTACAGAGAATCCACCATAAACGAAAGCAAATTTTTTTCAATTTCTCTCAATGATTAGCTCTTCTAAAATGATTCATTTTACTGAAACTTGTCATAGAGGCATGTCTGCTAAACTGTATCAGTAGGGAAAAGTAAACTATTGTATACTATAACTTGTATTATTTCTTTATCTAAATAAAATATCTTCTCAGAATTCCTTTCTTTCAACTTAATATCCTTAATTTAAAAAGGGTTGCTTTGTTTGTTCTGAGCCCTGATTTTCAGAAAGTTGTAGGCTTTTAAAATAAGGTGAAAATTACTGAAAACTGAGGACAAATTGTTCCTTTACCCTCAGATTTCTGCATTAACCTGATTGCTCTATTATAGTTCAAGTTCTCTTAGTTCCCCTTCCAGGTTCAAGTTTTTGTTCAAGCCTAGTCATGGGAGTAATGTTATCATCTTTAAATTTGGTCATGGAATGTGTTACACTGCTCCGCTCAGGGAAACGCTGCTCGGTTTGGGCTTGGATAGTAACGTTTATTTTCTTTGGCAGAGAAGCTGATCGTCGAGGGGCATCTAACCAAAGTGGTTGAAGAAACAAAGCTTTCAAAAGGTTCGTTTTCTGTGGGTTTTCTGTGGGATTTTTTTGTGGGTTTTGACAACTCTTCTTGATAATGAGGGTTACTGTACATTTCTAAGGTCATAGTACTTTAACCATCAGTTTATTTCTTAAGGATGACAAAATGGCAATGCAGTAACAGTATCGGATAATAATATAAAATAGTTAGAGTTCTGTTTTAAGAAGGAAACATTCATTGGAAAGTTTCTTTTTAGATGGATATATATGGGTGTGTATGTTTTTAATGCTTGGAATAGGTTTCTTTCAGTATTAAAGATTTGTTGCAATCTCTCTGTCTTACTTCCAGTATAATTTTCAGCTTTTATCTCAAAATTTTAATCAAACACAACATAAATCTTTTTTGAAACAGGTGAAAAATGCTTGCAGTTATTTTGTGATATTTATCATACCTTTAATATTCCTTATGATAGTTAATACTTTCTTAATTTTTGACATCTCAGTTTGATTTAAACAAGTATTATGTAGGACCTTCTTATATTTTGTAATGGATCGTCCTATAATTGCCTGAAGTAGTTTATTCTGTTAATTCTTTTCTGTTACAATTGTCAGACTTAGAAAAGAAAAGTGAGTTTTAAAGCATCATATTGTCAAGTCACTTTTATGTATAGGGAAATTGGGCAAATAAATTTAGTGAGATATGCTCATTATCAGTCTAAGACTTTCATCAGAGGAACATACCAGTAAAAAGTTTAAAACTAATTCACAATCATTTTGGTCAAATAAAATAATGAGTGATAAAAGTTTATGACACTCAATTTCATTACATTGTTTTATGAAAGTAACTGGATCCATTTGGCTTTTAAAAGTATTTGAGAGGATAGTGTTATTTCAGATATCTGGTGGCTTCCATTCTGAATTATGTGCACGGCAGATGCCATATTTGGGGAAAGAATGCATAAACTATGCATCACTAATATTGTTCTGGCAAACTGGCATTGAGTTTCAGAACAGTGGACTATTTTTAGTAGGTATGGCAATTTACTTCATCTTATTAAAGTGAGATGAGAACAGGTTTTAAAATAGCTTTGTACTTCACCACCTAAATACCTATTCAGATTAGTTGGTTGAATAGCCAACACTTTGAAGTGGGGAAAAAAATCAGTGCTTCTTTTAATTACAGAAAAGTATCTGCTATCATGTGCTTCTGTTTAATGCATTCTGAATTAAAATATATTCCCTTGAGATTATGTGATGTCATTGTTGAAAAAGAAAATCTGGTTTCCTTTTGAAATCTGGCCATAAAACATGTATTGAAAGCTTTAAAGAACATGCTCTTTTACCTAGCAATTCCACTTTTGAATTTTTATCTTAAGGAACAAATTGGACAAATGTGCAAGGGTGTTTGTTTCAGTGTTTCTTTAAAAGCAAAAAGAGGAAAACATAAGTGTCTAATAATAAGGGCATTTATTAAATAAATTATAGCAAGTCAGTCCATGCAGGTGAATAGAATACATCTTTTAAGAATGACAATACATATAAAAGTTTTATATACCAGAGACTCTTCTGTGAGCAGTAAACATTTTACTAGCAGCTCTCACAGTTAGCATGCAGAGGTACGCTCATCCTTGTAACCGACTAGATGGCTGAAATGAGTTACATTTTAAATGCTTTATATCTGGCTATAAAGTGTTTTCTTTTGGGTTTGGTTGGATTGTCTTTTTTTTTTTTTAATGCTTTCATTGGTAAAGTTTTTAATGGACTTTTCTTTTCTGCATTGAAAATATGAGTTGCTAGAAATTGCCAGTTACCAGCTGTTACAAGACTTGGTAGTATTTCCTTCAGATAATCGTAGGTTGCATGTACTTTCTAAGCCCTAACTCAGTTTGCAGTCAATATATGTTTACAGTAGCTTTAGGAAATGGTAGAAGTAGAAAGAATACAGAGTAGGTCCAACAGCAACTTTCAGCTCCAGGTTCTACCATAACTAGCTTTGTGCCCTCAAGCAACTTACTTTAGCTCTTTAAAACCTCAGTTTTCTCCTTGCAAAATGGGATTGACAATAACTTACAGGGTTTTGTGGGAATTTTACGAAATACTGCTTTTAATGCAAGAAGCACCATTCTGTTGTCCAACAGATGTTAGTTCCCCCTTTATTTTTCTTGATCCTTAACCTTGTTTTCTTTACAATTAATGGTTCCAGTGATGTAGGAAATGGTCTCTGGCCAGTATGTTTGTTTTGCCCATCTATTGTTATGTCTGCTTGAAGATACAATGAAAACAGTCATGTTATTGTAAAGTTCCCAGTTTGGGAACACTTTAGGTATTGATGTCGGTAGCTGTTCTTCCATCTCTGTGTACTATTGGTATGTATTTTAATAATTAAATATTGCAGAGAAAATCAACTAGCAATGACTTTTTTAATACTGGAAAGTTGAGTGCTGCTTCATAGCTAAAGAGTAGATGTTTTGAAAAGTTGAGACTCTGCCACTCATTTGTTGTGTCCTGTATTTCATTCTTGAATAGATTCAGCTTGCCTCTATGTAATAACTGTGTGTGTGTGTGTGTGTGTGTGTGTGTGTAATATATATATATATATATATAAAAACACAACAATGATGGACCATGACTTGACTTACTAAAAACTTGCCTTCTTATTCAGAGTAGAATTGTGTCTTCAGTTGTCTCCTTTTTGGAGAACCTGCTGTATACTGTGGACTCTTCTATGCAATGAACATATAGCAGTTAACAAAACAGACAAAGATCTCTCCCTTATGGAGCTTATGTTCTAGTTAGATCTTAATGGAAGATTTGATTCCACCTCTAAGGCAATTTTACCTTCCTGGCTACTACTCTAAATATTAAATAAAAGTTCCTTCTAAGCCAGAATAATACTTTTGAAAATACATTCCTCTTGGTTTACCTTAATATCTTCATCATAAAATTGCCAAGAATATTAAAATTAGAAAAGAATCATTTTTGTCTTTTCCTTTTTTTTCCCCAGAGAGGTTTCTTTTCTATCTATATATAGATAAGATGTATTAGCCTGCCTTTTTTGAGACTGTAACTTTGTGATCAAAACTAGTACATTCAGAAATGTCTGATTATAGTACACTATGAATGCACCAGAGGTCACAGATTAGATTCCCATGGGCCTCCATGGTTAGTGACTTCACTTCTAATCTAAGCTCCCTATCACTCAGCAGTTGGCCTTTGACTAGAAATGGCAGTGAGAAAAGAAGCAAAAAGCTTCTTGTAATTCATCACCCATTTCACAAGTTAGCCACAAATTCTAGGGTATTCTTATATGAAACATCCATAATAAGTTATATTTTAACATTATATTAACTATTTTGATAGTAATGGTTTTAGATATGTTTCCGATTACTTTCAAAATGGAAAATATATCTTGAACATTTTCCATTCCATAATGAACAATGCTGCAATAAACATCTTTATGTATATATACTGTATGTTCTTTATTATTTCCTTAGGAAAAGTACTAGAAGTGGATATGCACATTTAAATTTTTGATGCAGATTACTACCAACAGTATAGTCAAGTACATAACATTATAAGAAGTAATCATACTTCAGTAAAAATTAATTAAAAAATAATCATTTGCTTAGTGAATTTAAAATCTCACTAAGGAAATAAGGTAAATGTACACACAGAGAATGATAAAAAATAGAACATGATTAATTGGAAAAAAAAGACATGTCCCACAGAAGATAAAATAAAAAGGAACGGCATGCTGGAGAAATGAAGACTTCCTTAGAGGTAATAGAGCTTAAGCTGTACCTTACAGAATGACTAGGCCAAGTAGAGAGAGTGGTCCTTGAATTCAGGAAATATCAACTCAAGCAAAGAACTGCAGGCTATGATGAACTGGCTTGCCTCAGCTCTGTAAAGAGGCCGGCCTTACCAAAACAGAGCTCATGTGAGAGTTATTTAATTCAGGGACCAGATTATGGCTTAATTCTGAAATATAAAGCTTGGCTAAGGCCTTGTGACGGCCAAGGCTTTGTGGAGAATGGGGAGATGCTCTAGAATAATGGTCAGAGAAATGACCATCTCTGTAAGTGCTGTCCTAATGCATGTTGTAGTATACACAGATGGGCCATTACAGATGAGGATCTAGGGCCTAACTAATAACCTGTCATCTTTAATAAATTGTGAGAATTATAATTCGGACTTTTTGTGAACAGTTCATTGAAAACTAGGCTTAGGATGTCTTCCTTGCCTCAGGCAGCACACCACTTGTAAACAACTTCAAAACTTTTTATTTTGAGTTTTTCTTAGTGTGGTTTGTACAGTCATATTTTATTTTGATTAAAAAGCTGCTAGTTTTCTTCTTTTAAATGTTTCTTTTATAATAAATAATTGTGATTTTTTTAAGAAGAGTTTTTATTATGAGTATAAATATTACTGAGGCAACCTAACTAGTGTTTTTATATAATAGAGCCATTTGCTTTCATCATCTTCATACAGTGTCCACATTTTCCTGGGAATTTTGCTATATTTGTTGCAGTTCTCTGAATACTTTAGCAAAGCTTGCTTCATTTTTGTTTCCAGTTGGCCAGTGGACAGCCTTGAACAAAAGCCCCAGCCCTCTGCACAGCAGTCATGATCCACATTATAATATAATATGAGCTACGTGTACTAACCAGCATTCCATTTGGGACTAGAGTGGTGAAGAAGTAAGAGATTCAGTGACCTCAGTTAATTTTAAAAGCATTTTGTACATTAGTAGATTTAGAGCAAGCATAGCCTGAAGCAGTTTTATTGATAAAAGATAT